CCCAATAGCTGGGTTTGTCCCTTTTTAACCCAGCATTTTTTAGAGTGTAGATAGATAGATAGATCACAAATCACAAGGTTCACTTTGTTGGATCCCTCTGACTGATTCTTGTAAACAAAGCAGGCTGATTGGTGACCAATCAGACCTGTCTATTCTGTGGTACAAAGTTCTAGTAGCAAAAATGAGTGTTTATGACAACGTTTATCAGTCAGTGCAAGAATGTGAGAAAAGAACACAAGTATGAAAGTACTTTTGTAAGTTACAAAAGGGAAAGGCATTTAGCTAATGATCGGTATACAATTTATTGCTAATAGTGAAATGCATGATAAGGGAATGTTACAAAAGGGAAAGGCATTTAGCTAATGATCGGTATACAATTTATTGCTAATAGTGAAATGCATGATAATCACAAAATGAAATGCAGAAATCAGACGCACAATATGAAGTATGAAGCTCACCGATGTTAAACTTGAGAGAAGAACAATTTAACACCAGGCTGAAAGCTGAGGTTCTTCAAAACTGAGAGAGAACGTGAGCTGCAGTGACAGTAGGCACGTGTGTGTAGTTGTACTGTATATAGTGAAGAATCCCCTGTCCACAGCCCACTGCAAATGTTACCATAGTGCTGAATGATTAATATAACTACAATAAATTTAAACAAGATGCTATTACCAATTTAACATCTGGGTATTGTAAACTAAAACTACTGAAAATTGTTTATTATTTCAAATAAAGCAGAAATAAAATATATGCATTAGAGGAAAAAACGAAATATAAAAAGAAAAATTTACATGAAAAGTAGAAATGCTACCTTGTCAACTAACTGAAGTAAAATACGTTTAAGCTAAAGTACTAAAATAACTATAACTTAAAAAAAGAAATTAAAGCTAAATAGAAATATTGAGCATAAAAATGACAAAAAAACTAAAAAATGACAAATTTAAATGAAAACTTAAAATACAAAAATAAAAACTAATTTAAAATGTGAATAAATATAGTAGTATATAAATTATACTAAAATAACACTGATCTTGGTATTTCTTAAACTTTTATGTTCTAGGTGTTCACCTTTATTAAAATTCACAGAATTACGTTTGTGACCTTTTTTCTTGTTTTTCATTATGAAGGTATTTAGTATGAAGGAAACAGGAAAATCAAGGTAATGAATATAATAGTAATATATGCTATTATAAATAAAGCTGTAAATTTGTCAAATTATGCAGATGTGAAAACATTGTTTAATTGTGTGTATAAATGAATGCTATCAGACATAATACATAATTTCAGATGTGGTTAAAAGCACACTGTTGTGTCATTCTCATGAAAAAAAAAACATGAAAAAATAAAATTCCACAGTAGAAAGAAAGACTCTTAGAAACAGGTTTAAAACAGCATGATGGTGACTAAATGATGACAAAATTTTCATTTTTGGGCTGAACTATCCCGTTTTAGAAATGTTCCACTATGGACATATTTGGCACTAATTGTCTATTAACAATTGTCCAACAGTGGACATGCATCACAATTCTTTAATTTTTGAGTGAACTATCCCTTTAAAAAAATTATCTAATTTCAAATGCTATATGTGGGTTTAGAATATTTCATTTTCTTTGGAGTCATAAATTAAGCATGCACAGTTGAAATGAACATGTTCCTGCTTTGAATCATGTCATATTTCCTGTCCTCTGGACCTCGTTCCATTATGTTGAACATAGATATGTAAAAACAACATTTTGTCTGAAATGTAAAGGCAATTTGTCTTTGGCAACCAGTAGAGCTCTCAGACAGGAGAATGTGTTAATGAGGATCAGAGATTAAACAGATCAATTAAAGGGCCGTTAAGCGCTTAACTGGTGCGCTGTGTTTGCTAACACATAACAAGCGCTGTTTTTGACAATGCTTAAAGAGAGCACACGGCCCGAACCAGTTGACTTCTAGGTAATTGCTTCTCTTTTTATCTCGCTGCACTTCTCTGTCCTCTTTAATGGTGCTGTCTTGCCATCCTTTATCAATGCAGACAAAGAATCGCTCATTCTGTGGCATCACCAATGAACCAAATGCTACCCTCCCCTCGGTCATTCGCTCATTCTCTCTGTCTGTCAGGGTACATGACCTGTGCAAAGCCTTTTGCTTCTCTGGCGCATTTCGTTTCAAAGTGGATTCTTACTGAGTAACAGAAGGTAAGTTGGGCTTTCACATAGAAAGATTTCATTTGGTTACCATCAGGTTTTAGAGATTTAAATCTTATTGTAATGCAGTGTTGAAGTAGCTCTGCTCCTTTAGTTTTGTGTTGAATGTTGAATATGATCTCCTTTTATCTCTCTCTCTCTAACTCATGCTCATATTTTATCCTCATTGTATTTCCAAAGCTATGCGTCCATCCAGTATTTTGACCTTTGAACCAGGGTTGGAGTCTGGAGTGCCATGGGGCCGTGATCTTTTTACTTTTGTGACTTCAGCAGCTGGTCACATGATGAGGACTTTGCAAAGACCACGTAAAAACAAGCCATCAAAACGACAAGTTAATCATCGCAGGTTTCTGCACAACATGATACAGAGGTTATACTGTATATATTCATATACTACCGTTCAAAAGTTTGGGAACAGTATGGGGATTATGTTTTAAGCCAATGCTCACTGAGGCTGGTTTTATTTGATCAAAAATACAGTAAAACAGTAATATTGTGAAATATTGTTACAATTTAAAATAACTGTTTTCTATTTTAATGTATTTTAGAATTTAATTTATTCCTGTGATGGCAAAGCTGAATTTTCAGCAGCCATTACTCCAGTCTTCAGTGTCACATGATCCCTCAGAAAGAATTCTAATATGCTAATTTAGCGCTCAAGAAATGTTTCTTATTATTATCAATGTTGAATACAGTTATTTAATATTCGATTTTTTTTTTTCAGTATTCTTTGATAAACAGAAGGCTAAAAAGAACGGCATATTTAAAAATTTATTCACTGCCATTTTTGATCAATTTTATGTGGCCTTGCTGAACAAAACTATTAATTTCTTAAAAAAAATAAAAAATTACAAATAAAAACATAGAGAAAATCTAACTGACCCCAAACTTTTGAACGCTACTGTATATTTTTAGAATGTTATTTTTATAAATATATATAATGTTTTGATAATTGTGTAATTATAAAAAAAATATTTTAGAATTATTATTCCCTCTGACTCTACGCAGGAAATTTGCTGAAATAGAGGCAGCAAACCATCAGCTGGCGTCTGCTTTATTTTCAACGGATAAACCCTCAAATGATCTGACACCCAGAATATCTCACATTGTAACAGAAGTCACAGATCAGTCACCCAAACTATCAAAAAAAGGTACAAGACATTACTTCTTTTTTTTTCAAAACCTGTTTGTTCTGGATTGGTACAAGTTTGATGACTCCTTGTTCTGTTTTCTAAGCTGTTGAAACTTTTATAAATGCTGACAAAACCGAAGCTCTTCCTGAACAACAAGAGGATGTGTGTGACCTCTGGACATTGGACAGTCTTTTGGAGACCCATGTGGTTGATAAAAGTTTCTCACAGTGCAAGTTCTCCAATCGTAGAGGAGAAAATCCCAGAACTGACTGCAAAGCTTTGAAAAACAACCCTGGAAGCTCAATGGAGAAGGACACCGGCTTCAGCTTGGAAAGACAACCAGCATCTACCGATTTAGAAAGCTTGACACAAATGACCAACAGTCTTCTAGAGGACAGCATGTCCTCCTGGTTTGGATCCATTGAAAGAACAAGAACATATTCGAAACCACGTCTCACCAAATGCTCTGACATGAAGTTGCTCCACATAGAGGTTGACGTTCCAGACCTGTCACCCCCTTCTCCGGTGATTTCACTATTGTCTTTGGATTCATGCGATTTGGAGGTTCAGATGCTCATAGATGCCGAGCACTGTGTCCAAACGCAAGATGCCAACATCGTAGAGAGTCTCCAGATGGATATGGTGGACGACCTTGACTTTCTAGATTGTTCTAGTAATCATGGAGATCTGCTTACCCATAACGATGATCTTAAATGTAACGAGTGGATGGGTCACAGTGAAGAGGATGGACGATGTTTACAGGAAACATGTGTGTTTCCAAGCTCTACGGATTCAGACCTAGAGAACCTAACAGGTTCTGATGGTGGGACCAGCAACTCCATGTCCAATTTGGGCCAAACCGGTCATGAATTTTTTGCTAATGTTCTCTGCAGTCAAGAGCCACATAGACGTAGCTTCCATCATGATCAAGTAAACTTTACTATGAACCACAATACCATTCTAGAAAACCGTTTTGGTCAGGTTGAACCTTGGATGAAGATGAATGGGAAAGAGGATGGTTACTCAGATACAGATTTTTATGTCATGGACGGTAATATTTCAAGCCACCACATCTTCCCAGGATTTAAGAGTCAGTTGGAGCAATCCAAAAGGATTCTTTATGACAACTGGGAACAACAACATCTAAAAAGCTCATACAAGAACTTTACAAGTCCAGTAACAGATCAGATTATGATGCAAGACACTGATATAAGAAATATCGTACAGGTTGAGAATCTCTGCCAGACTTTACCAGGCCCCCAATGCCCGATAATGTGCTGCCTCGAAGGCTTTTGTTATCATAAAGAAGAGTCGTGTTTTTACTCGCAATTCAGAGGCAGTCAGAGTAGTTACAACTTTGAGGGCATGGCTAGATCTTTCCCTGCAACATTACGTAAGCTCCACCCCACTCCAATTCCTCTAGATGATGATTGGCTGTTCAGTAACATTGTGGCAGAGGAAGAGGTAAATAGTATGAATAATACATTTGGAAAGTATTGATCAGTCATTGGACAGCAATGGTATGAACTGTATTCATGAATGAATTTTATTGTATCTGGGGTTGTCTGATTACTACACTTTTGTGATTTCTCAGAGTAGTTACAACTTTGAGGGCGTGGCTAGATCTTTCCCTGCAACATTACGTAAGCTCCACCCCACTCCAATTCCAACTCCGCCTCTAGATGATGATTGGCTGTTCAGTAACATTGTGGCAGAGGAAGAGGTAAATAGTATGAATAATACATTTGGAAAGTATTGATCAGTCATTGGACAGCAATGGTATGAACTGTATTCATGAATGAATTTTATTGTATCTGGGGTTGTCTGATTACTACACTTTTGTGATTTCATGATCATTTCTGTGAAATGTTCTTGTCTGTAGTGTGAAAAATTTAATATTTTCTGTAACAAAACTGTATGAGTATTGTAACATTATAATACAAAAAAAAAATCAGTTATATAAAGGGATCAATTTACTTTTCAAATGGTTACAATTTTTTTATTGTATTTATAGAGCCCTGTGATGGACTGGCCATTTTGGACAGGCTAAAAAGTTTGCTTAACAAGTGCTTTAAAAGTTATTAATGCATGCAAATTGTATTTTTGCATTTAAGTTACATTATGAACATGAATTAAACTTTTACATTTTAAATGTTTATTTATTTATCAATTTAAAGTGATTTATTCATTTATTATTTAATTGTTATAATTAATTATGCTTTTAAATGTAACAATTTTTTTTTAAATGTAATCATTTATTTATTAATTTACTATTAGTTTATTATTTTATTGTTGAATATAACAACGTTTTTAAACTTAGCATACTGTAAAACAATTTTAAATGTCTAATAATTTGTCAAATTCAACTGTGATTTCTATTTTTGGTTAATAAATTGATAATTCATTCTATTTGTAAGTGTATGTCATTCCTTCATTGTATTTTTAAGTGGCACTTACTCCATATTTACTAGGCAGATGGTGAATCGCTGATAGTGTTAGTGTGAAAATAAACCACACTGCTTTCAAAGCCAATGGTATATTAAAATTCACCCCAGTCTCATTTTATCATTATAGCAAAATAAAGCAAAAGATCAAAGAAACAACATGGTGAAAAATTCAAGTTCCACAGATGCAAAAAAAGCACACAGTCCTCTTCAGAAACACTTCAGATACAAACATGTATCTCCGCTGGAGTTTTAATTCCTTTTCATACATATTCTCTGCTATTGTCCACTCATCTCACACTAGTTCAAAGCTGCATTATAAAGCGCAGGTTCAGTATAACAAGGCTCATTTATTAAACTAGAGGTTAGGATTCAGAGAAATACTGGTTTTTGAATTTGAATTTAATTTAATTGAGATTGAACAGCTCTGCAAATCTGTCTGCTAAATGTACAAATCAATTCAAATGACATTTCAGTGTCATTTCAGTTTGTCAGTGACAAACCACATTTTTAGCAGCAATACTGAGTTGCTTGAAAGGCAAACAGTCACATTATAGGAAGATGTAATTTAGGAACATGTTCTAAAATGGACAAATAAGCAGAATAAAAACAATCTGTACAAGGCTTGAGTCTTTTGGCTTGCATTTGCGATTCCATCCTGTTGTTTTTAACAAGCATGGTTTCCTCCCTTTCAGTCAACAGTTCACAACTGAATACAAATCCATCTTGATTCTAGAGGTCAGAAATTAAAAACACACTACATTTTAAAATGAATCATTATTGGGGCAAATAAAACAATTCAAGTATCAAAATCTGATCAATATAACCTATTACAGACATTTGACGTACAGTGATGACCTAATATGAAAACCCTGCTTTCCGAGTTACAGGACAGATACTGACCACACAGGTAGTAATTACTGTGGTAATAACAGTGTAATAAACCCTTCAGGGCATCAGAGAATCAATTTGTAATTTCACAGGCTTAACAGATCTTAAATACATTCTAATACTTCATGGTGACAAACAATTATTATTCACAGTTTTAACACTTAAAAAACTTGTGTGTGTAAGCCAGGAGCAGCGTATCAAAATGCTCATCACCATACAATATCTATGAATGAAAATAAACATCTCGGAACCAATCAACAACTGTAATCGAAAAAAGTATCTGTGAGAATTATGTGTGAGTCAGATTGCTGTTCAGGGAGACCTAATATTGCAATTTACTTATCAAATTCCAGATCTCATTCTTATTAGTTCACTGATTTTCAATGGACTCAGTTTTGTATACTACAGGCACTGTTGACATGCATACAGCTGGAATAATATCCCTTTAGTCATCCATATGCCCCAGATTGTGTGTAACAAACGCTTTGATCCATAAATATTTACCGCATTCAAAAAAGAACAAACAAACAAAAAATACAGTATGTCCTTTTGATTAAAAAAAAGTTACATTGATATAATGAGATAAGTAATAACTAGCAGCCTTCAACCCCTGGTATAAACAGGCAAGATATTATATGTTCATATCTTCCAAGTTCACACCATGTCATAGAAACTCTCAGAAATCCTGATAACAGACTTCTCACTCTTGCTCATAGACAAAACCGTCTCAAACGCATTCACGGATGTGTTATTTGTGTTTGATGTGTTATATTCTTTGAGGTCCACTGCAGCTTATTTAATGAAAATGTATTTGTTACTGACTGATACCCTGCTAAGTGTAAACTCATCCTTACCCTCCAAATCTCTTTCATTTCGCCTTGTTTTCACTTAAAATTGCAAACTATACAACAACCATGACATCTCTATGTGCAGACAAACAATCAATACAAAACAAAATAAATAGATTGCATACTGGAATTCTCTTTCTTGATAAAAATTACAACAAGTCAGTAGTCTGAAACTGGAGCCGATGTGTTAAGACATAAATTAAGAAATCCTAACTACCTATCTATATCACTACCAACAAAAGCGTCCCTTTAGAGCTACCTAACAACTTACACACAGTATCTAAGAGGGTCTGATCTGCAGCACAGATACCCTGAACTTAATAGGGAGTTGAACTGAATACTAAAGTTTGAATGAGATCACAGCAGGTTTATTTCAAATATCTAAGAACTGTTATTGTTAAATCTATATGGAGGTGAAATCTGTCAGCTTTGGCTGCTTTTCTTTTGTTTTCTGCTGTAAGTCCAGTATTTGTTTGACCTTTAAGGTTTTTTTTTTCCTGTATCACCATTTTTTCTTATGGACAGGTTATGGCTAAGATGTAAACGCTATAGTGGACGGCTCAAATTTGTAGTATATTAATTTAATAGAAAAGCATTTTTCTCTTTCTCACTTTTCTGTCTTTGTTTTATACAATCGTAGCTTTGTGCATGTAAATTGTCATCTATGGAAGCCCCTTTTTACCTCAGAGTAAAAAAATAAAAAAGATAACTGTGAGATAAAGTTTAAAATCACACTGTGAGATATAAAGTCATAATGTACGATAGAAAGTCACATATTGACATAACATCAAACTGTGAGTTACAAAGTCAAATTAGTGGAAGCAAACTCGCAACTGCGAGATGTAAAGTCGTAATTGCGAGATATAAAGTCACACTGTGAGATATAGACACATTTTGAGATATAAGACCACAGTGAGTTATAAATCCGCAATTGTGAAAAACAAACTTGTTCGCGAGATGTAAAGTCAAAATATTTCAAAAGAAAATTGAAATTGAAGGATATAAAGTCACACTGGGAGATACAGTATAAAGTCACAATTAGCAGAAACATACTCGCAATTGCGAGATATAAAGTCACACTGTGAGATATGAAGTCACATTTTGAGATATAAGGTCACATTGTGAGTTATAAAGTCGCGATTGAGAGAAAAAAACTTGCAATTGCGAGATATACAGTCACAATATTGAGAAAGAAAGTTGCAGTTGTGAGATATAGTCAAATTGTGAGGTGTAAAGTCACAATTCTGAGAATCAAAATTATAATAGTGACATATTAAGCTGCAATTACCTTTTTTTTCTTTACTGGGGTGGAAATGGGCTTCCATAATCATCATCTCTGCCTAATTATGTATAACAAAAAGCATTGTCATCTATGTATCTGAAGTAGAGCTATCACTTTTAACATTTAAACACAGAGATATTCTAAAATACCAAAGATACATCCTTGTACCTGTTCAATTCTCAATTTCTTAAAACATAACATTATTTTAGGAGTGAGAGAGAGAAAGTTTCTCAGTGCTTTGAGGGTTTGATGGCTTGTGCAAGCACAGATGATGCATTTTTGCCTGATCTTCGATCATCTGTGCAATACCCGATGGCATTTGATTGCCATCAACACGCAAATTTCTCCTAAACACATGGCTTTTGAATGATTGAGAGAGCGCTTGAGATGGCCATCATAATTTTGCCACAACAAGCCTGATATACTGCACCGATATACAGTACTTACATTTCCCGAGGAATGCTGGGAAATGTAGTTTTCTTTTCTCCCCTTTAACTTAAAAACTGCAGTCTTTACTAACTGCTTGCTTGGTTTAAATAGTAGAGTACTGCATCAAACTTTCTCCATCTTGCATGCTAAATCATCTGTTCATTTAAAAATCAATAAATCACATTAACTAGGTTCAAGTTATGTGTGTCTGCACAGATGTTCTATTATGTGTACGATTGCAAAAGCTATGCGAGTTAAACCAGTAAAACTGTCCATCTGTCACACTCTCCCCTTCTTATTCAGCCTCTGTAAGGCTGTAGGGAGGAGGGGGCCCCAGGGTGTTGTCTGAGGGTGTGGGGGTACCCGGCGGGCCGCTGGACGGGGTGGGAGAAGCACCTGGATCCTCAGAATCAGAGTTCTCCTGAGAAAGGTCATCCACCAGAGCCCTGCGGCCAGCACGCATGGAGATAGGGAGCGGAGCTCTCCTGAGACAGAGACACAGACATAATAAACTGCAATTCATGCACAAAATATAATATACATATACAGTGTCCCCAAAACATTATTTACACATTAGACACAAAATATCAAAGCAATCTGCAAAAAAAAAAGAGACATGCTTTTCTAGATATTTTCGCACAAAGCAGTTAATTTAGAACAGAAGTTATTTGGTAATATATTTTGTACAGTGTAATAACTTTTCGGTCAAATGGTTTGCTTTAAAAATGTTTTGTCCAGTAAACAAAGCACAAGCCAAAATACAGTGCTTTTTTGTCATGTTTTGCTTTAAAACGTTGTCCTATAAACAAGACAAAACAAAACATAAGCCGGAATAGTTTAATAACTTTTTGTCAAATGTTTTGAT